TATTTCCACGCTGGTCCCCAAGCCTTCTCCATGAGCTTCTGGACACACAAAGGACAAAATGACTCAAGCCTTCAGACAACTAGCCTTACTTGACCTAGGTCCTTTTATGGCATGTTTGGGATGGTTTGAACTTGCTCAACACTGCTCACCATCTCCATCTGGCTCTTCTCTGGACCATGGATGCCAGCTCATGGGGTACTTGGGGCCAGTTGGATGCCTTCAGAGCACAAGGCTCTGGCTTCAGCAAAGCAGCAGTGTCATCTAGGCCTGGGAAAAAAAATCTGCCAAATAATGGCCTAGCCTTGGGTCACCCTCCTCCTCCAGCTATTTATCCAAAGATATCTTATCTTGGAGCATTGCTTCATTTCCTGCTCACTTTTCTAACCAAAGTCTTTAAACCATGTTTCTGCAGCTGAGGTCATGGAGGGATGCATAATATTCATTAACGGTGATGCAGCCGTTACCTTGATTCACCTCATCCTTTCTTCTTTCTCTTTTTTCTTCCCAATTGCTGCTTTCCCTTTCCATTTCTTCCTCTCTCCTGGTCTCAGGGCAGGAGAGAGCTGGCAGGAGCCCACTGAAGCAGAGCCTCCTGTGGTGCGGCCAGGAGTCTGGGGATCTCTCCTGACCAGCAGCACCACACTCCCTCCTGGCCAGGGATGCTTTGGGCAGTGGGAAGGGCTGGCTCCAGGCTCAGCCCCAGAGGGTCATTCCTCTGGGGCTTGTCTGGATGAGCACACGGAAGAGAACAGATTTAATTCAGCTCAGTGTCTGAGATGTGGAACCAAGGACCACTGACAGGTCCCAGGGTAAGAACATAGGATAGGACTGAGTCTTTCAACTGTAAAACAAACTCCCACATGTGGGCTGTCAAACCCCAGCAGGCAGCTGAGCTGGGAATTGCCACATGCCGCTGCTCTTTGTTCCCTTACAGACACACCAAAACCACCACCTCACCCCAGTGTCTGTGGCTGGAGGATCCCTGCCTCCAGGTTTCCACTCTGCAGGGGACAGGCTGTGGGTGCAGAGGGGCACAGACCAGCTAGCACAGGAGTTACTGCTGAGGGTCTGCCCAGCATCTCCCCATTGGGGCTTGCCCCAATTCACCCCTCTTCCCCCTGCCCTGTCCCACAGCCAGGCAGTGCTCAAGCAGAGTGTGATCCAGAGGGATCAAAGTCCTCGGTGTGTATTTGTACTCAAACCAAAGTGAAATGGGGAAATCAAAATCCAAAGCCTCTAAAGCCCGCTTGAGCTTTCTTGCCCACATTTGGAGAGTCCCTTGACACAAGGGACCAATACTGCAGATGAAGTGGGAAGTGCAGTGTGTCCAGCATCATCCCTCTCCTTCTCTGAAGCCAAACAGTGCCTTTGACACCCATCTCCAAGAATACATGTTTGGTGCATGGAGCGGAGAACTGCAAAGGGGTTTGGACCCAATCCATGAGCTTTCAGCTAGATCCTTCCTGATCCACATTATCATTCATCTCCCCAGTGCATAATCAGGCTCTCCAAACAGCGTTCTCAGGTCCCAGCCCAGAGCTTGGAGCCTCCCGAGAGGAATATGCTAAAAAAAGAAAGAAAAACATTACACTGCCAACTGAAGCGAGTGCTGAAAGGAAGGAGATGCCAGGAGCACTTGAACAAGAATCCGAGACCCAGGGACGCTGGGGTGTGTGTGTTTTCAATCCACAGATGGGAGATGTGTTCATTGGGAAGTGACTGCCACTCACTGTTAGCTTCAGACCTTGTAGCTGATGTCCCAGCAAGTGAAATGGCCGTGACGAGGACATCCCTGCCTGCATTAGCACTTTCTCCTGGGATTGATGGATTAGTGCAGAACATGGTAAAATGGCACCACTCCTCCTTTGGCTCCAAAACCTGCATTTGCCTCTCAAACCTACAAAGTTGGAGCTGAGCAATGGCACACGGGCAATCAGTCCTGTCAGCAGCAAGGGGAGTAATTTGGGAAAATCAAACCAAATCAGGGGTTCAGGACTCCCTTGGGTGCTGTGAGGTGTCCCACAGTACTCAGCTGGTGCAGAGCATTGCTCCCATGAGAGAGCAGCATCCTGCAGCCCTCAGGGTATCCACTGGCACAGCCCCATCCCAGTGCCACAGCAGGGGGATGCTCCTGCTGCTCACACTGCACAACGTGCCCAGGACCAGGTTCCAGCTGGGGCTAAGAGGGGAGCTCAGCATCACCTGAGCTATCCCAAATTCTGCTCTTTAAGGGTGAAGCTTCATTTATTTGGCTACAGGGACTCACCTCCTCCAAACAACAGGCCTGCAGCTGCCCCGGGGTGCATGGAGGTGCAGGCTGGGGGCTATCACCTCCCTGGGCTCTGCAACCAGCCCCACAGGGAAGGATGAGCTCTCTAAACACAGCACAGATGCTCATTCATGGGGACATCACCCAGCACTGATGGCTCAGGCTGCTGTGGGAACATAACCTTCCACAGCACATTCCAGATCTCTGCTGAAAAGCAATTACTGATGCTTTTACCTCTATGCAGAGCTGCACAAATAATGGACCTTGGTGCTGCAAGCTACAACAGGTCAGGGAGTAGCACCCTGGCTCACCCCAGGCTGCATGCCCCACGCTGGGTGTTTTTGCCTGCAGGTTTGTGCATGCGTCTGTCTGTGTCTGTGCACAGTCTGTTATTCCTCCTGTAGAAACAAAGGCGAAGCAAGGAGATTAGAGGCTGGACATGGCTGATGAATCCACTTCCCTTACAAAAGGAGATGGTTCAGTTCCCATCCAAACTCCAAGAGTTCAAAGCCAGCTATTTCTCAGGGAATGCTGGCTTGTGCCGGGAGGATGCCATGGAATGCCAGCCCCTCTTCTGCTGCACAGGTGTTAGCCACACTGGGCTGGCAGCAGTCTCTGCTCCCAGCAAGCCCTGGCCCATCCACATAGTGAAATCCAGCTTACATGAAACTCTATAAATGTGGGGAGTGAGGTGTTGCTGCTTTAAATCACAGCTAAGCAGAGGCTGTTCAGTCATCCCTGGTTCCCTGTGTCATCTCCTAGGTCCTGGTGTCACCAGCTAGTGACGTTCCTACAGGGACCCCACTGAGGTGTGTAGTGGAGAGGAGAGAAAGGCAGCAATGGGAGCAGGCTCAGCCTGTTGGAGACAATTCCTTCCCAGGGAGTGATTCTTGTCCCCCAGTGTCCAGCTCTCCCCAATAAGGGGTCCAGAGCCCCCAGAATAACTGCATCGGGGCTGGCAGCATATTTGGGCATGGCCTGACCTTGTTGGTGTCCACGGATGCCACTTGTTTGACCCACCCAGAGGCCTCAAAGCACTTTCACAGCAGCCCACATCCTCCCTCCTTGTCCATGGCACTTCCCGGAGCTCAGGATTTTCCCTGGGGGCACCCCCAGCCCCCAGGGAAAGCCCCCAGAGCTGCCTAAGCCAGGGCTCTGCATTGCAATGGTGAACAACAAGGAGCTTCAGCTCATCACTCCTTTGTGCCCACAGGCAGCATCCCCCAGGACAAATTGCTCCTTATGTAGTCAGTGATGCTCCAAGCCCAAACATCAGCACAGAGCTGTGGCTGAGCGTGTGACCCCAAAGGGCTGGTAGAGACAAGGGAGAGGCTGATGCCTGCAAGCAGGGCTGCTGTGGCCATGTGCCAGTGGGCAAGCACAGAGTGCAACAGAAAGCCTGGGAAAATCCCTCAGACAAGCAAAAGAAGATGGGTGGAACCTTAATTGCATTGCTCTAATGGTGAGAAAACATAGAGCAGCAGCAGCAGGAAGAGGAAGGCAGGAGATGGACAATGCACATCACCCTGTTGGGGATGCTCAGATGCTAACAGCGGTTAGGAGACAGACAGTCTGTGCAATTCGTGCTTGTTCCCATTATTTCCAGTACTGAAAGCTCTTGTGATTTTTCTCACATGTCCACCACTGTTTGCCACTTCCCACAACATCTCAGGTCCCACCATCAGATGACCGCACAAGGATGAAACCCTTCCTCCTTTCCCCTGCTGACAAACCTGCAGCCCTTGTGATTAGGGAGCAAAACCTTGTCCCCCAGTGACCCCAAGACTTTGGTCAGAGCTGCTACTTCAAGGTGCTGGGACCTGTAGAGCTGGCTCAGGTCCTGCAAGCTTCTGACTCCTGGAGAAGGGAAGCCAGGGAACAGAGAGGACGGGTTTTCCGTTGCCTATTTCTATGCTCTCATTGCTGAATGCAGCAGCAGGGCAGTGCAATGAGAGCAATGCAATGCAATATCACGCACTGCACCGCCGTGCAGAGGCAGGGCAGTGCATGCCATGCAGCAGATGCAGTACAGGGCACCAGCGCAACACCCACTCTCCGCCTGCTCCCGCGCGACCATGTGACCGCATCACATGCAAAGCCCCCCTCCCACCCCCGCGCAGCTCCCATCCAATGAGCGCAGGGGCGGGCCGTGAGTCCCACGGCGATTGGTCAGAGAGGGCGTCAGTCCATGAGGGGGGCGTGGCTGAGGTTGCCCTTGTGGAGGCTGCGGGCGGCTCGGCTCGGCTCGGCTCGGCTCGGCTCGGCTCGGCTCGGCTCGGCTCGGCGGTTACCGAAGCCCTGAGGTCCGTGAGCACGGTGGGTGCCCGGGGCTGACCATGGGAGCGGGGAGTCGCGCTTCAGGCCGGGTCTCGCATCTCAAGGCCCGGCCGCCACACTTCAAGACCGGGGCCCGGAGGTGCCGCGGGCTCTCTACAGCCCGGGGCCGGGACTGCGCCCCCTCATAGCCGGGTGGCTGCAGCACAGGCACCACAGGGCCCTGAAGTAGGATCAGGGCCTGGTGACGCCTTCCCTGGGGCCGTGTCGGGACACAGGGGCCGGAGCTGTGGGACCCTGGGGGTGGCTTTGCTGAAGTAATAGGAAACAAAGTTGTTCGGCAAAAGGGCCTGCCCCCGTGCCGGGGAGTCTCCGGAATTCCCACCGCTTGGGGCTTTCCAGGGCTGGATACACCCAGGGCAGCAGCTGGGCAGATCTGGTGATCAAACCCTGTCCTAGAGCACCCAGCAATGGGGAGAGGCGAAGTCCTCCCTAGCCCCGAGGGAAGGGGGTTTGGGGATGATGCAAACTGACGGCGGGACCTGTGTGCCAGCAGGGATGGCCGGCAGGAGCCAGGACAGGAGCCTGCGGGAGGAGCTGACATGTGCCATCTGCTGCGAGCTCTTCAGCGAGCCCGTCATGCTGGACTGCATGCACCACTTCTGCAAGACCTGCATCCAGTGCTACTGGGCGAGAGGCACCCGCGTCCCCTCCTGCCCCCAGTGCCGCCGCGAGTTCCCCAGCCGCACTTTCCGCACCCACTACCTGCTGTCGGGGCTGGTGGAGAAGGTGCGGCGCTGCGGCTCTGTGGAGCACCAGCACAGGATGCGGGTGAGTGGCATCTGCCCAGCTAGGGCAGAAGGGACAGGTACCACATGAGCCCTATGTGGCCACCATAAGCCTGTTACTCTCTCCTCCTGCAGCCAGTTCCCCAGCAAGGGAGCCCCATGCATGCCTCGCCTGCCCTGAGTGCAGTGACATCTATGTCTCTTCCTGATTCCTTCCCTCTCCTTGTTTCCTTCCAGCTCTCTGTCCTCTGGATGCTTCTTCTCTTGCATTTGTACCCTCACTGCTGTGCCTGACTTCCATCGCAGCCTCGTTTCTCACATAGGGACCACGCAGCTGGGGGTGAGGGCTGCGTGCACTGCTTGAGGGGTCAGTCCCTGCACAGGTCAGTTCACAGCACACAGAGTTTAAACTTTCAGCAAACAGATATCCCAGGCTGGAGTTTCCAGCCTGGGGTGATAATAAATAATGTTATTTATTAACAATAAATATTTTGTTGCATGCACACATACATAGTTCTCAAGCCTGTGCATCAGGTGCTTTCTTCTCCTTACTGTCTTTATAATTGCAGCCTCCCTGTAATGCTGGCCTCAAGACTTAGGATTGCGCCTGAATCACAGCAGAGTAGTGAGTGGGCTCCTCACCTTCTTTAACTTATTCCTGCAGAAGCACCTGGAAAATGCTTTGCAAGCTCGTCAGAAGGAGATGGAAAACTTCTTGCAGAGGAAGCGTGTGACGCAGGAAGATATCTGTGGCCTGATGGTAATGCCCTGTGATAGCTGCTTTTTGTACAGCCCCTGGGTTAATGTTCATAGAGGATCTGTGTATCACTTCAGCTGGGATTTTGCTCAGTTTCCTGTAAAAATCTAGGTGGATAACTTCTGTAGGGATCTGAACAAGCTCCCCTGCATGTAGGCCAAAGCCCATTGCTACTGAATGTTCAGTGGAGGCTTTGGGCAGCTGCATTAAGCAGAGCCTGCATGGGGTGAGTGATGGGAGCTGTCAGCTGAGCAGTCTCTTCTGGCCTCGCAGTGCTGCCGCTTTGGGAGAGGGTTAATTCTTGGAAGCTCTAAAATCCTCTTGCGTGTCTGAAGAGGTGGCAGCAAAGCCAAAGGAGCTGGGTCAGTGACAATGCTGGCACTGCAAAGAGCAGTGGCCTTGTTAAAAGGACTGTGTTTGGATTCATTGCAAAGCTCTGAGATGATGTGAGGAGCCTGAGTGCTCTCTATGGGCTTGAGAAGCACCTACTTGTCACTGATCAATGAAGCAAGGACAGCTGCAGGCTGTCTGCACTTCCTTCTCTAGTGGCATAAAAGTATGAAAAGCCAAGGAAGGAGAGTTTAAGGAAAATTGAAGTAGCTCAGAGGTGAGATAAAACTGATGGGAGGCTGTCCTCTAACTGGAGTCTCTGATCTGTCTGCCTGCACTGTTTCATTACTTTTATCCCACTGCCAGATTTGGAATAGACCTTTGACATTAGTGAAGTATTAGCAAACAAGCACATGTGGCTGATGTCCAGTTGCAGTGGAAGAGCTGACTAGGAGATGTTTCAAGAGTACAGGAGCAAATTGCTGACCTGAACAGGGAGGCCATGCACATCCTCTGAGGTTCTGGTGTGTCAGCACAAGCACCTGCTGGAGCAAAGGGAGGCTGGGGTGTTGTGCGGGCTGGTGGAGCTTCAGATACAGTCTGGGGGAGATGGGTTTCCTGCTGGTAGAAAGGGATTTGCATTTCAGGAAGCACTCCCTGAGAAAATAATGAGGGTTAAGGTTGCACTGAGAGCTTAAAAGCATGAAGATTTGGAAAATAGTCATTGGCTGTCTCTTGTAAACAGGCAGGAAGGCAGAGCAAGCACAAGGCTGGCTGGCTGACCAAACAACGGGTAAAAAGTGACCTCTGAAAGAGCTGAATGGGATTTATCAGCCTTATCTACAGAGATTAGTCTGTGCAGCTTCCCCACCTCCATACAGACAGCAGCCCTGGGAGATGGAGGCAGCAGAGAAAAAGAACAAGTTGCCAGTGTCAGCCAGCTCTGCCTGGAGCCTGGTGTGATGTGAAATAAATCCTAACCAACCTGAACAGTTGAGTCTGCAGCTCCAGGAAAACAAAGAGCTCCAGTCTTGCACAAAAGCCTGGTGTTGTGGGAGAGGACTGTGGGTGCCCACTGTGGCTGTGTGCAAGGATTTCTAGTTAAAGTGACCAAGCCATTGGTGGAGTTTTGTTTTCGTTGATTGTTTTTGGCTTGATTTGTTTTTTCCCTTTGGCTCTGCAGCCTTGCGTGCTATCCTCCATCCAGAAGTTGTGGGTATGTCTGAGACTGTAATTCCAGGATTCTGTAAGCAGAGTAACACCTGAGCATCCTGTGCACCCGCTTGTGTGTTTTAGCGCCCAGACTCATCTGCCTTTTCCTTCTCAGAAGGTGTCTGGGGAGCTGAACTTCAACATCCGGGCAGAGTTTGCCTGCCTTCATCAGATCCTGGAGGAAGAGGAGAGAGCTGTGCTGGCAGAGCTGGCCCAGAAGAAAGCGCAGTCACTGGCTCAGCTGCACAGGGACATGCATGGGCTGGAGGAGGGGATATCAGTGCTGCAGAGGGATATTGAGCGCATAGAGCACACCCTGAGCAAGATGGAAGAAGTGTCGTTGCTGGAGGTGAGTGTCCTTGGCTGGCACTGGCAGGAGGATGAGAGATGTTCCAACATCTGACTATGGGATGGTGAGTGTCCTAAATGACAGAAATAGGCTGTACCTGGAAGTAGATCTTGCTGGCATCCCGCCAGATTATTTGCCTAATTCCCTGGAGTCTGAAGGCTTCAGCCACAAGGGATATAGTGATCTCTCGGATGTGGTGGGTCTCAGGAACCTTACTCCTTCTCTGTTACCCACGTGAAATTGCCTTGGCCCCGGTGCCCAGGCAGTTTCCCCCAGGATGAGGGTCATAATAGGTTGGTTTCCTCTCTGTGCTGTGTGACAGCCCGAGGCAGGACAAGGAGCTTATTTGTGCAGGTACATGAATTACAGACAGTGACTGCTAATTCTCTCTGCTTCTCACTGCAGGTGGAGAGCCTGGATATCAGGTATGTGTCTGGTGTGAAAGCAGCTGATTCCCTTTTCAGGATCTTATCTCTGTCCCTGGCTGGGACCACATGGGGGATGGATCTTATCTCAAGCATTTAAAGCATCAGCTGCTGGTGCTGTACAAGCTGGGGGCTGATCCCCAGCGTGTGTTGGATGTTCTTCTCAGGGAGCTTGTGTGTCAGGATGGCTGACTGTGCTGGTTTGGAATGGGTGCAAGAGCAATGCATGCTGCAGGCAGGAGCAAGGCTGTGCCACAGTCTTTGAGTGCTTTGGCTTCTCCCCACCCTTTGTTACCTTCTTCCAGCTCACGGGGCTGCAGAACTTACCCTGAGGTTCAGGTTTGTCTGAGGCTGTGAGTAGTTAAGGGCTAGAACTGCCATAGGGGAGCATGTCCCTGTTCCCTCCCTTTCTGGGCAGAGGTTTGACTGCTGCTCTCTGCCGCAGGCCTTCAGTGCGTGTTGAGACCCAGCCTGCTTTTGACCTGGAGCACTACAAGGACAGCTGCAGCGGTCCCTTGCAGTACATCTTCTGGAGACAGATGCTGCGCTCCATCTGTCCTGGTGAGTGGATCAGTGTGAGGGATGGATGAGCTGGATGGTGGGGATGCTCTGTAGAGGGAATATGCAGCCGGTAAAATGCCATGGTGGCTGTCTCCACAGCTCCTGCCCCCCTCACCTTTGACCCTGAGTCAGCCCACCCCAACCTGGTCTTCTCCAGAGACCTGACAGCAGTGACAGAGAGGAGTAAAGCCCTGCCTGTGCCCGTCAACCCCCGGCGCTTCCGCCAGTGTGTCAACGTCCTGAGCTCGCAGACCTTTGACAGTGGCCGGCACTACTGGGAGGTCTGGGTGGGCAGCAAAACCAAGTGGGACCTGGGGGTGGCCGCCGAGGCCGTGGACCGGGCAGCAAAGGTCAAGCTGTGCCCGGAGAATGGCTACTGGACACTGCGCCTGCGGAACAGGACCGAGTACTGGGCCACCACCACCCCCTGGGTGCGCCTGACTCCCCGCCGACCTCCCCGCAAAGTGGGGGTCTTCCTGGACTGCCGGGAGGGCACCGTGACCTTCTTCGACGCTGGGGACATGTCCCACCTCTTCACCTTCCACCAGGTCTCTGCAGACAGATACTGCCCCTTCTTCAGCACCTGCTTCAGCGATGGGAAGGACAACATGGAGCCCATGCGCCTCTGCCACCTGGCCCTGTGAGGAACAAGGAGGAGCTTTGGGGACACCAGCCTGGCTCCTTGTTCCTGCTGTCTGGATGCTCCCCAGGACAGGAGGCCAGTCTGCACATGTGGGTGTTGGAGAGGCTGGTTTCAGTTTTGGAGGAAGGAGAGGGATGCGGTTTCTTTTCCCAGCTTCTGTCTGCCCTCTCTTCTTTGTGCCATGGGCTGTGGGTGCTGCACTGGCACCCCTTGAAGGACAGCCTTCCACGCCTGAGCATTGAACAGTAACCACAGGCTGCTTGCACCTCCTGTTGCTTCATGCCTCCCACGTGTAAACCCTGTGGAGGAGGGCAGTGGTCCTGGAACACCATCGAGTGCCTTTGGACACTGAACTCTTGGATCCCAGCCACTGGCTTCCTCTACTCAAAGGGCTTCGTGGGGAATGGCTGCAGGCTGGCGGCAGAGGGAGCTCAGTGCACGGTGTGGAGACCCACTTCCACCTGGGACTGTGATGCTGCTTCACCTCCACTTCCCTCTCTTCCCTTCACTCCATTCTCCTCCCTTCCCTTCCATTCCTCTGCCTTTCACTCCCTTCCACTCAGTCACTATTAAAGCTCATTAAAAAGACCCCTGTATCTCGGGACTTGCATGCTGGGGGGGATCTACTGCACTGGGCTGTATAGCCTGGGGGTGCAGACCAGCTCCTTGGCCCCTGCTCCAGCCCAGGCTCCATCCACCTGCAGGACAAGTTGAGTGGATTTGGCTGCTGCAGTTAGTGCCTAGGGGGTGCTGGCAATGTCTGCACCTTGCTTATGAGTCTGTGGAGTTGACTTGAGGTGCTGGGTTGGGCCTGAGCTTTGCTGGTGGGAGTGAGGATGGAGTGCTTGAGTCATTGTGTTTATCCCACTCAAGTCCATTCCAGGGTCAAAGCAGAGGAAGAGCTACCCCAGGCCTGTGCACCCACTGGTGCTGGCTGGAGCCTGCAAATGCCTCCTCTGCAGAGGCTCCACTTTCTGCACTGTGGGAAGGGCACTTGTCAAAGAATGTTCTTCACTGGTTCCCAGTGGGGATGGGGCAGGGGCTCTATCTTCCCATGGTACCACAAGGGGCATTTCCCCATCGTGTGCAGCACCACTGCCGTGTGCCAGGGCTGGGATCTGCTGTAGTTCTGTGGTTGCTTAATGCCTGTCCTGGGGCAGGAGGTGACTTTGTGCTCAGCCAGAGGGGAGGATGACCCATGCAAGATGCAGACAGATGTGCCCTCCTGTGCCCAGGGCTCTGCAGTGTGGGGTGGAGGTGGGTGCAGAGGGGACTCTGTTACTGGGAAGCTGCTGCTCTGTGCAGCCCTGCTTGGGGGTTGGATGTGGAAGGGATGTCAGGGGTTTCTGCTCCTGTGCTACGGCCCTGGGCTGCACTCCACCTCCTCTCCCAGCTCCTGCATCATCATCTTGCTGTCCCCAGTCTCAGCTGAGATAAGAGTGGAGAAGAAAGAGCTGTTGGCTTGGAAATGCTGCTGTGAGCGGGGCTATCATCCCAGCAAGGCCTGGGAGCCTCTGTGGGAAGGTGATGCTGGTTTGATCTCAGCAGGGAGCTGAAACCCATCCCGACTGACCTGAAACTGCAGGCAGGTGAATCTGAGCAGCAGCAGGCGGGATCTGCAGCGGGAGCAGGAGCCGATCCACAGGCACGGGCAGGCAATGAGCACACCCGGCTCCCGCTGCTGCGTGCCGCGTGGGCCGGCGTGGCGGCACGGGCTGCGAGCTGCTCACTGCAGCGTGTGCCAGTGCCATCGCTGCCACCTCCTACACCTTCCCCTTGCCAAAGCAGAGCTGGAGAGCAGCGAAACCTGCTTGTCCCACATCCCTGGGCTGAGCACGCTCTCCAAGAAGCACATCCTTCCTCCTCCTCCTGCCGGGCCCTGTGTGGTGGCTGTGGCGTGCTGCTCCAAGGCAGAGCTGCATTTCAGGGTATAACATCCTTGCCTGGCCCTGCAGGCAGGTGCCTGGAGCAGGCAGAGCCCCTCTGCTGTGCGGCACGTACAGCAGCTCCTGTGTGCAGGGAGAACACTGCTCTGAGCTGCCGTACGTGCGATTTAGCCTGGTGAGGAAACGCTGCCTGCTGTCAAATGCTGTCTGAAGAGTGCATTTCACTGATAAACCACAGCAGAAACTCTAGGCGTGGTGTGGATGCAGTGACCGGCTGAGCCTGGCTCTGGGTTCAGACAGGAGGGGATGGGGATGGGGCAGTGGGCACCAGAGAGGCGAAGCTCCCCTCTCTGCTCCAGCGTCCGGACTGTGCACATCCCATGCTGGCTCTTGCCATCTGCCCCCAGGACCAGGCTGTCTTCTCCTTGCAGGTTACCCTGTCATCTTGTCTCTGGGTGTCCTCAGAGCCACCCATCTGCTTTTCCCATTGCTGTCCCTGGGGCTGGGCAGCGTCCAGCTCCCTGCTCTCTGTGTCTTTATCCTGCGCTTTGGGGAAGCCTCTGCTTCCTCGGGTCCTCCCCACGTGCTGGAAGGGGCTCAAGATTTTAAAATAAGATCCTTTTGTTTCCCAGGGCGGCAACAATGGAAAGGTCCTACCGGTCCCACAGTCACCCTGTGTTTGTGATGGAAAATTCCCCGTCGTCACGGGCGAGCCCTCCCCGCTGTCCTGCCGTTAGATGGCAGCATGGACGGGCTGGTCCTGGCCACCACTGCCTGCACGGTGCCACATTTGCGCTGCAACGGATGCAGGATGCCAAAATCGCTTGATTTGGGGGCTGCCAGGGGATCCCACTCCCTCCGAACCCAGGGCAGAGCCTCCACTGTTCTCACTCTCGGCTTTTCCAGGCAGTCATCTGACTGCTTTGTCCAGCATCTCAGCAGTGTGATGTGATCCATCCCTCCATCACTGCCCACACCTCACCACCTCGCTGCTCACCTCTCAGGTGCACGATGCCCCCTGATGCTCACAGTGGTCCTCAGCATGGGGATGCTGCAGTGACAGGAAGCTCCATGGCTCCATCTCTGATCACAGCCCCCAGCACCGGGAAGGGGTCTGATTCCAAAATCTCAGCTCATCGCCCTGCAGTGAGAGCGACGCAGTCGGTGCTCTCAGGGTTAAAAACTCAGTAAGAGGGCTGGAGGGAGTCAGGTAAAACAAACTCTGTGGTTTGGAGCCCTTCCGAGAGCTCTGGGAGAGGGATGGGGTGATTTCTCCCTTGGCTTTGGCAAGGAGAGCAGAGCGCACGAGAAGTTTTCATGCCTTTTCAGAGCCACGGGAACATGGTTCTCATTCAGGCTCTTTCTTCGCTGTCTGCGAGCGTGTATAATTAACAACCCTCCAGGGTGCAGCGTAGGGCTGTGTTAATCCATGCACTCAGCACTCGTTGGGTGCACAGGCAGCTGGCCAGGGCTGTGCCCGCTGTGCCACCGCATTCCCAAAGCTCTGCCATCACAGCACATTCCCAGTGAGTTCACACCGAGATGGAGCCACTGCCACCCGTGGAGCTGCCCCATTCTGCTGCCAACGCCATGGTCGTGTGCATGGGGTTTGGTGCAGACCTGCCAGAGCAGGGGGTGTGTGCCCCATGTAATGGTGCTGGGGGGGAATACAGGTGCCCCATGCTGCTGGCAGTGCCCTTGGAGAGACAGCATGAGTGGAGCCCGTAGTGCATGCCAAAGGAGTAGGGGTGCAAGTGTGTTCACACAGGGCATCTTTGTGTGCACCTAGGGGTGCAGGACGAGTGCAGGAGGGTGTCTGGATATAGGCACGATCTGTGGGCTTTGGGGTGCATGCAGGCACGAAGGTGTGTGTGCAAGTAGATGAGATGTGTGTGTTCACATGAGGGGTGTGCACAGTAGTGTGAGAGGGTGCTTGTGTGCGTTCCTTCTGGGATGAGAGGTTGGGGTGTGCGTACAGATGCACACAAGAAAGACACAGAGGTATGAGTGGGATGTACAGGGGTGCATACAGGCATGCAAGGCATATGGTAGCATGAATATACATACAGGTATTGGGGGGCTCATGCGTACATGGGGCAAAGGCGATGCACAGCCATGCACACAGGTTCAGGACATGCTTGTACCCAGCTGCAGGGGGATGATGCTCACCCATGCACCCAGCTGCAGGGGGTGGACGGATGCTCCCCCATGTACCCAGCTGCAGGGGATGGATGGATGCTCACCCATGTACCCAGCTGCAGGAGATGGATGGATGGATGCTCACCCATGCACTCAGCCACAGGGGTTGGATGGATGCTCACCTATGCACCCAGTCCCAGGGGATGGATGGATGGAAGGATGGATGGATGGATGGATGCTCACCCATGCACCCAGTCCCAGGGGATGGATGGATGCTCACCCGTGCACCCAGTCCCAGCGGATGGATGGATGGATGGATGGATGGACGGACGGACGGACGGATGGATTGGATGGATGGATGGATGGATGGATGGATGGATGGATGGATGGATGGATGGACGGACGCTCACCCATGCACCCAGCTGCAGGGGATGGATGGATTGGATGGATGGATGGATGGATGGATGGATGGATGGATGGATGGATGGATGGATGCTCACCCATGCACCCAGTCCCAGGGGATGGATGGATGGATGGATGGATGGATGGATGGATGGATGGATGGATGGATGGATGCTCACCTGTGCACCCAGTCCCAGGGGATGGATGCATGGATGGGTGCTCACCCATGCACCCAGCTGCAGGGGATGGATGGATGGATGGATGGATGGATGGATGGATGGATGGATGGATGATGGATGGATGGATGATGGATGGATGGATGGATGGATGGATGGATGATGGATGGATGGATGGATGGATGGATGGATGGATGGATGGATGGATGCTCACCCGTGCTCACAGGTGCAGGGCCGCCCGCACCCCGATGTGCGGGGCTGCAGCCACCACCGGTGCCGGTGCCCGGTGCCGCAGGTGCGCCCTCCCCCCCGCGCCCCCGCCCTCCCGCCCCGCCCCGTCCCGCCCCACCGCCCGCCCGACGCCCCGCGGGCTCGGTGGAGGGCGAGCGGGCGGCCCGGGCGGGCAGAGGAAAAGGAAACGGCCCCGGTGCTCCCCGCCCGCCGCCGCGCGTCGCCGCAGCTGGGGCGCGGCGGGAGCAGAGCTCGGGCGCGGGGCGCTCCGCACCGCTCCGCATCGCCCCGCACGGACCTGCCCGCGGCCCCGGAGATGAAGAGAGTTTGCACGCTGCCCCTCTGGCTCTGGCTCGGCATTGTCTCGGAGGCAGGTGAGCGCCGCGGGGCTCTGCTCTGCCCGGACCGACCGGAGCGGAGCGGGGCTGCGGGCTGCCAGCTCTGCCGCCCGCCCCGCACCTGCGGGCGCGCTGGAAGGGAGGGGACCCGGCGCTGCCTGTCGCGGCTCCCACATCCCGGACGGGGATGTGCCGGGATCCAGCGCTACGTGTCCCGGCGTCTCCCAGCCCCGACGAGGACCGGCACCGCCCGCCTCGGGGTCCCTCAGCCCCGGCGGAGACGGGCGGTGGTGCCCGCCCGGGTGTCCCCGACGGCTGTGACCGCGTCCCCGCAGAGAGGGGATGGGACGGGACGGGACGGGAGGACGCTGCTGCCGTCCCTGCGGGTCGCGGGGTGACCGGTGGGGAGCACTCG